CTCTCTCTCTCTCTCTCTCTCTCTCTCTCTCTCTCTCTCTCTCTCTCTCACACACACACACACACACACACACACACACACACACACACACATGAAAAATAAAGAAGAAAAACGTAATAACAAAAAAAAAATTGTGCGCGTGTCTCCTTAACAAATTGCTTGGGTACATACGTGGTCCGGTGTCTCCTGGGAATCCAGACTTCTTTGCAAGGGAGAAGACGTTTATGTTTCTGCGTTCCTGATTAAAAGGCCCTCAAGACAGGTTTTTCTCATCCCCACATCAGACCCTTTCTGGACCTCTAACACTTCCCAGATGGTGAAGAACTTCTCTCTCCGCAGCCCCTAGCAGGGTGGGGATTCAGAAAGAACAGGGCTTGAGTGGGGCCGGCCTTAGCACCTGCTTCTGCTGTTTTCCTCTGGGGCAGGTAGGGTGGCTAACCTTCCCCAGCCTCGATGCCTTCAGATAGACAGTTCCTCAGACACAGGAGCCAACACACACACACACACACACACACACACACACACACACACACACACACACACACAACTGCCTGCTAGGCAAGAAGAAAGCGGTCCTCGTCCTCGGGCTTTATCACACAGGGCTTTTTACTAAGTGACCCAGGCTAGCCTGTCACTATGCTTCCTATCTCAGCCTCCTGAGTGCTGGGATTATGTCTGTACCCAGGGGAAATCTTTTTTTTTTTTTTTTTTTGACAAGCAGGCAACGATTTTCGTTCTCATGAGAGGCAGGCCTGGTCAGTCCTAAGCAAAAGTCTTCAGTCAGCATGTGCCTTTGACATCTTGCCCCCAAAAGTCACTTCTCTCTGCCGCTGGTCCCTTCTTTTGGGCCTCCTCGGCATGGTCCCAAGGCCCTGGGGATGGGCTTGGGGAGAGAGCCCTGGAAGACTCATATAGTACGAAGGGCTACCCAAGGCTGACAGTGGTGTCCTAGGCACGGAGACAGGTGGCCCATGTGACATTCCTAGGTAGAGCAGAGGAAGGTAAGGCTTCGGGGATCCCTAGGAGCTCGTCTGTCGGGCCCATGAGTACCCCTGTGCAGGCCCTGCTCTCAACTCGGTATCTGTAGTCTTGACTGTCGATCCCCCAACATTGGGGGTCTCATCTAAATATAGCCTTGGGTACAGTTTTTGCCACCAAAGTCTCTCTCTGGAGGGGAATCTACGTCATTTAAACGTTCCCTAGTTTCCAAGGTGGCGGCTGGGCTGAGTAGATCCCAGGGACGGAGTTTAGGGTTATGTGTAAACCCTGAGAGTTGTCATGTGTCTGGAGAGTGGCTTCTGGTCCCTTGTGAGGAAGATGAAGGGATGCGGGGTATGTATGGCTGCGGCCCTTCCAGCCTTTTACCTCTGGAGGAGGTATTTAAGGGTAAAGAGGGCATTTAAGGGTAACTGCAGGTCCCTGGGGGTAGGGAGCCAAGCTGGTCCCTCCCCAGGGTCCTTCTCCTACCCTCCCCCAGGGCCGAGTCTGAGATGTACTGGTTTATGTCCACACTGGAGTCTTCTTTTCAGGCTGAGACGTGGAGGCCAGGGCCAGGCATTGCCCTCAGCTGTGGCTCCCCCCACCCCCCCATTCTGGGCTCGAAGCTGAACCCATTCTGAAACAGACAGCTTCTCTCTGCTTCTCTGGTCCCACCCCCAGCCTGCTGGGGTCTGGTTTTCATCACCCACTAATCACTGATGCTTCCCACAGCCTGTGTCTGTCTGTCTATCCACGCTCAACAACCCCTGGGCCCTGGGTGGGCGCGCGGGGTGGGGGGGGCGGGGGAGGGATTAGACAGTCAGGCAGATGGGCTCTTGACCTGGGGAAACATTAGGTCACATGAGGGGCTGCTCCCTACTCCAAGATCGGGGAGAGGAACGATTCTGGGCTTGTTTGAGGTCTCCCCCACCCCCAGCTCAGCCTGGAGCAGCCAGCCCGGCCTACCTCACCCTGGCAGCAGGCGACAGAAGCCATTAGCTGTCCTGTATACCAGGAAGGAAGTGGGTTGGAGGGCTGAGGAATTCTAATTAAGCTTCCCCAGCTGGCAGGCCGGCTGGCGGGTGAGAGCTGGCACCTCCAACCCTGCCAGCGTTGGTGCCAGCCCTATCCGGCCCGGCCTGCTTGATGCCCACCTGCCACTGTGGGAACCCCGTTTGTGGGCTGCCTTGTAAAGCCCCTTGAAGATTCCCAGGCGCCGGGGCTTTCCTCCTGGCTCCTGCCCTCTCTCTCCTCCTCCTCCTTACCGTGACTTTGAAGAAGACATAGCCGTCGTCTACAGCTGAACTGGTGTCATCCGGATCCGCTCTCAGTTCTGGACTACTCACAGCCGCTTTGGACCTTGGTGTCCTTGATGGCCAAGTGGGATGATGATCCTAGTTTCTGTCCAGACCTTAGGACTCCCCCCCCCCC